ACAGATATTAGACCTGGAATATATCACGCTTAGGGGTTTCTGATGACATGAGTTACTATTAACATGATTAGCTTATGTTTCCACAAGATGACATTCTGGAATATTGACAAAAATGCTGTTATCAGCGACTGTTTACTCACTGTTGTGAATAATGGCATCTTCCACTTAGAAGCGATAGTCGCGGAAAATAGCATTCAAAAGCGTTCGATTACAAACGCTTTTGAGGGTAAAATTCAAGCGGTATTACGGCTGAATGTTAACTTTTAGGTGATTTGGTAAGCTGTGTTCTGATTGGTCATTTCAAAGGTTAGCTGGCGCGACCTTCTATGAAGGTTTGTTGGACTCAGTATAGCAGTATAAATGAATAATACTGAGCTTTAGTGTTCTTAGACTGTTCCTCTTCTCGGTAACACGGGATGACATTCTGAATAAACTCTTCCTGTTCCATGTGGATTTTGTCATCATTTTGAATCAACAACATAATACAAATTTTCATTTTTTGTTACAGTGATTAAACTGAAGGTACCATACTCTTGGTTCAGTTTCTACAATTAGCTTATTTTGCGAAGTCAACTGACTTATATGGACTAAGATTAAATCAAATATTTGAAAATGAAACTTTAAGATCTTTTCAGGGTTATAGATCACATGAGCAGTCTCTCAGAGACTGTCATCTACATTATTTCAGTGTGGAAAAACAATGTGATGTGTTGGTTCCTGTTCTGTTAATGACGATCATATACTTTGTGTTAAGGAGGCTTACTTGGACCTAGGGAGTGAAAGCTTGAGAGTGGACATGCCTGGGATCAGGGTAGGTACAGTGAGTGAGCTTAGTGAGTTTGTTTACGCCCGGCTTAGCAATATTCCAGCAACATCCGCGGCGGGGACACCAGAAATGGGCTTCACATATTGTACCCATGTGGGAATCGACCGGGTCTTCGCCGTGTGAATGACGGCGCTTTAACCACTATGCTACCTACAGTGAGTGATTGAGTTTAGTAGAGTAAGTGAGTGAGTTTAGTTTCATGCACATTTTACCAATATTCCATCAATATCAGGACACCAGAAATGGTGTACCCATGTGAGGATTCAAACCTGGCTCTTCGGTGTGACTAGCGAATGCTATAACCACTAGGCTACCCCACCACCCCTGGGTAGGCAGATCAGCATGTACTTGGGGCACACTGTTTTCATGTCCAGTGGATGCTGGACAAAGGATTGTTGTTACAGTTTTTGTTTATCAAGTGTTTCTATTATGGTATGCTGTGTTTCAGGACATGTGGTTCTTTTAATTTGTTGTGGTTTTTAGCTATTTACATAAACTCACTTTACTTTACTTTACAAAATGATTTAAAAACATGCAAAAAGCATGCTTATCCACAGGCTCTGCATTTGTGGTCAGTAAGAGCTTTAGATGAAGGTTAGTTGGTTGGTTGTGTAACACCGCACTCAATAATAATCGACACTGGACCAGACAATCCAGTGATCAACAGCATGAGCATCGATCTGCGCAATTGGGAACCGATGACATGTGTCAACCAAGTCAGCGAAACTGACCACCCGATCATGTTAGTTGCCTCTTACGACAAGCATAGTCGCCTTTTATGGCAAGTGCATGGGTTGCTGAAGACCTATTCTACCCCGGATCTTCACGGGTCACCTGGCATACGATGACATGACACATTGTCAGTGTATGAAACTCCTAAATACTCAGGAAGCCCACAGGGCTGAAAACTGAAACATGTCGCTGGCCCTATTAACATGTAACCAGCCCTGTGTCAAACATAGGAAACTGAGATAAGGTGTTAAAATAATGTAATTAATGAATAAATAAATATTCGAAGAAGTGTGATTGTTTCAGCATTGTTCATTAGCTGAAAGCATTCTCCAGACCAATCACATTTAGTGTTAGATAAATGGGTAGGCTGATCTGTGGAGTTATATGGTCTGGTTGAAGGCGGTTAGGGTAACCTAGTGGTTAAAGTGTTATTTCGTCGCCACGAAGACCGGGTTTGAATCCCACATGGGTACAATGTGTGAAGCCTATTTCTGGTGTCCCCCGCCGTGATGTTGCTGGAATATTGCTAAAAGAGGGGTAAAAACAAACTCAGTCAGTCAGCATGGTTTGATTGATCGTGAATTATACAGACGTCGTCTAGCTACCACAATTGTAAATTATTTTCGAAATATTTCCCATAGTCAATGACATGGTCAAATATATACCCTTGGAAAATGTATTGGCCCACAGTGGTGGCTATAAAATAGAGTTGTAATCCCGCCATGTAACTAGCAAGCAGTAGGCCGCCGGGCAGACGCTATTTCATTGTGTCAACCAAGTCAGCGAGCATGACAACCCGCACCTGTTAGTCACCTTTTTAAGATATAGGAATCACAATTAAACATTCTTGTGATGTAGTATTAATGGTTGTTAAAGAAGGAACAACTTTAGACTGAAGGCGGGGAACATCCTTACACTGGGGGGACCACTTGCTGGTACAACAGCTAGGTAATCAACAAGCTTGTGTAGTGAAATTTCAATTTCACATGTGGAGCTTGCACACCTGTGAAGCCCATTTCTGGTGCCCCGTGCTGTGATATTGCTGGAATATTGCTAAGTGACGTAAATCTTAAGTCACTCGCTCACTCAAGTGATCCTTGTAAGTTATTCACATCAGTTATTCATTTAAGCCATCAATTACATAGAATATCTCGGTCACCTGACAGCTAGTTTAAATCCCAATAGATTTGTTAGTTTTTCTACCTGCAATGGTTTGGTTTGTGTGTTTCAGGGAACCAAGGACAGTGCTATGGTGGCATCAAAGAATGACAGTCAATCTGTGGAAATGGTGAGTGAGTGAGTGAGTGAGTGAGTGTGGTTTTACGCTTTTAGCAGCATTCCATCAATATCACAGCCTGGCCTGTATTTGAGACTTGGATACAGCTTTCAATGTTAAGATGTTTTTTACTACTAGACCTGGTCTAGTGGGTCTTAACATTTACTAGACCTGACTTAATGTCAACTAGACCATACTGTTGGAAGACAAAACAAGGTTATTCTTGTTATCAGCAGGTTTATAAGACATACTAGAAAAACAAACTATATTAAACACAAAACTGTGTGATATTTTATGTTTCTTTTGTCCATTATGAATACTGTATTCCTTAGCGTTTGATTTCTCTGAAGGACGTTTTTCATTTAAGAGTAGCTTTTATAATCTGTTTGCTCTTTAATAAGCTTGATAACAGGTTCTATAATGCTCATAATAGATGATGCTGTACAAGATTTTTAAGAAGAAAATGAACAAATACGGTGATTTGAAACATCGTTCATTAAATATCTACACAACTAGTTGGACTGGCCAGACAAGATTTTAACTAGACCGGTCCAGCTATTTACTAGCGATGTCACGATACATTTGTTTCCTGAATCGATATGTATCAGGATACCCATGTCACGATTCGATACTTATCACAATACCTATTTTCACGGCATTATTGTGTAAATTTAGTTACATTTTAACATTAATATTACATATTTCATAATTGTCCATGAAAAGATCAACATTTTTTATTCTCAGAGATTAAAAAGTTCTAATTTCCCATCTTTGTGCATAATCACTTACAACCTTCCTAACATTAAAAAACATGATACAATTGCAAAATGTAAACGATACCTAAACATATTTAAACTGATACTTTCCAAACTAAATATCGATGCAGTTTTGAATGTATCGATAATTGTATAGTCTCAGAAAAAGTATCGATGTATCGTGGCATCCCTACTAAAGTCGAGCACCGTTTGTGTTGAACTCTGATAACTCGATATCACGGTTGTCTCGATATAACATCTCGGTCCCAGCAAAATCCTTCATAATTTATCATTATTCAAGCTCTTTTAACTCGATATGGATGTCGCGATATTTCGGATATCTCGATAAAATGTCATGGTCCCAACAAGCAAAATTACCCTTTTGACTCTATATTTGCAAAGAAACTTGATATTCACCTACCCTTTCATGAGCAAGTATCCCTCTGAACTGAGGTTGTTTCCACACTTTTACACATGGTGCGGCATGAATCAAAGGGATGCGGTAGTGTAAACTAATGGGGGCTAATTGAGTTAAAGGTGTCACTTGTTTGTTATTTAATTAGGATTAATTAAGAAGGAATTAATTGGGAAGTACTCACTGTTGCGACTAAACTCTACTGATAACGGATTATTGTTCGAATCAAAACATACTGAGAATCCAAAGAGGGTTTCGTGTAATCACGTGACTAACATGTGATTGTTGAGTTGTTTCTAAATTGCGGAATTGTTTTCTTTCATAGTGATATGTGATGGTATGCCCTGGTTTGATGTCTCGAAGTTCGGATAACTCGATATATTTTCTTGGTCCCATGTATATCAAGACAACAGTGCTCGACTGTATTTACTAGACAGTGTTGTTCGGACATGCCTTAATGTTGAACCCTGTATTTAAAAATGGAAATAGTTTTGATAGTTTTTCTACCTGCAATGGTTTGGTTTGTGTGTTTCAGGGAACCAAGGAAAGTGCTATGTTGGCATCAAAGAATGACAGTCAATCTGTGGAAATGGTAAGTGAGTGAGTGAGTCTGGTTTTACGCTGCTTTTAGCAATATTCCAGCAATATCACAGTGAGGGACACCAGAAATGGGCTTCACACATTGTTCCCATGTGGGTGAAATGGAGCCCGGGTCGTCAGTGGACACAATTACCATTAGGCTTCCCCACCCCCGAGGAAATGGAAAGGACAGGGATGGTGGGTCAGTGGAAGGAGTGTCTGCTGTATGTCTGGTCTGGCCTGTATTTGAGACTTGGATACAGTTTTCGATGTTAAAATGTTTTTACTACTAGACCTTGGTCTAGTGGTTCTTAACATCTACTTCATTAAAGAGTAGCTTTTATAGTTTTTTACACTTAAAAAAGATTGATAACAGTCTCTATTATACTCATTATAATAGATGACGTTGTGCAATATTTTTATGAACAGAAATAAACAAACAGTAATTCATTAGCATTCATTAAATATCTACACGACCAATTGGGCTAGCCAGATACAATTTTAACTAGATCGGACTAGCTATATACTATAGTCCGTTTGCAGTGAAAACGTACCGATGAATTTCACTTTAAAAAATAGTAAATCAAGTTAAGTGAAATTAAGATTTCAAATCCACATAATTTTACCTTGCCAAATGAACATTTAAATCTCAGAATTTTATTCAACTTAGGATAAAAGTTGTTTAACAAACGATCATAAATTCAAATCGCTATTATTGGTTTGTATTACAAGGGGGTGAGTGCAGTAGATGGAACAGTGAAACAAATGCACGTGCGGTACGTGATGAGCGTTAACTTAAACCAACACTACTTGTTCTCGATGTTTCATTTAAAGTGCATATCCCTTTGTAATACAAACCAATAATAGCGATTTGAAACTACGATCGATTGTTAAACAACTTTTATCCTAAGTTGAATAAAATTCTGAGATTTGAATGTTTAATTGACAGGGTAAAATTATGAGGATTCGCAATCTTAATTTCACTTTATTTGAGTTACCTTTTGTTTAGAGTGAAATTCATCGATGCGTTTTCAATGCAGAACAGACTATAGTACAGTGTTGTTCAGAGGTGCCTTAATGTCAAACCCTGTATTTCAAATGGAAATAGTTCTGATACTGTTTCTACCTGCAATGGTTTTGGTTAAATGTGTTTCAGGAACCAAGGACAGTTCCATGTTGGCATCAAGAATGACAGTCAATCTGTGGAAATGGTAAGTGAGTGAGTGAGTGTGTGAGTGAGTGAGTACTGAGTGTGGTTTTACGTAAGCTTTTAGCAATATTCCAGCAGTATCACATAGGGCTGTGCAATATAACCGGTTTACCGGTATATATATACGGTTCAGACATGAAAACGATATATGTATTAGCGATCGTTGATCGAAAACCGGTATTTTGAGATGCATTCGGAAAACTTCCGTAACACTCGGAAATCTTCGGATATTTCCGTTTTTCACACAGGAAGTCGTGCGTTTGTTGTAAAATCTACGACCCCAACAACGAACAATATTTATTGTGGTGCCAAATACTAGGGCAAAGCTTCAGTATGGCAGCAGTTTGGGTTTAAAAGTTCACGGTAGATGGAACTATTGGTAAGAATGCGCAGCATGTAAAACATGCAATGGTAAAGTAGGTTTTATTAAAGCTTAATCAGGCATAGTAATTTTGTTGTGTTTTATAAGTCAAGCATTAACTTCTTGCAATATATTGCAATACATATCGCATAATATATGCTTTAGCATCATAATATATCGCAATATGAAAATTCTCTGCAATACCCACCCCTAGTATCACAGCAAGGACACCAGAAATGGGCTCACCAGTACCCATGTGGGTGAAGTCACAGGCTTCAGCATGGCGTGGACACTTTTACCATTAGAACAGGGATGGTGGGTCAGTGGAAAGAGTGTCTGGTGTATGTCTGGTCTGGCCTGGCCATGTATTTGAGACTTGGACAATCAGCCTGATTTTTGTGAAATTCAATGTGTTACATAGCTGGAATATCACGGAGTGTGGCATTTAATGACAACAGACACAACATAAAGGGAGACAACTCTTGAAACATTGTTTATTCATTCTTAGACAAAATTGTTGAGAGGTAGGGTGTTTGGATTAAGATGGATGAAAATATTGTGTTTGATCCAACATGAGTGAGTGAGTGAGTTAAAATTTTCGTCGTCACAAGGGCAATATGGTTGAAGGTATGCCACTTTCAAAGATGGCTGAAGTCTGCACAGCTACAATGCCACCAATAGCGCCACGAACACTTTCTGTTGGTAACAAATGATTCACATTCAGCAAGAATGTTTGCAAGGATGAACCTTGATGAACATAGTAAAAATGGATGAACATGGCATATTGTTTCAAGTAAAGATGAACAGTGTTCTTCTTCTGTCTTTTGGTCAAAATGTTATTCATCTTTTACTGAAATTGACGTGAGTTGGGTAAAATATAATAATTCAATCAGATCTTAATTATAACTTATACAGTATGAACTGCTAATGTACATATCTTCTTCTCAATTTGGGACATTTCACATTTTCACATTTTCTTTCAGGGTATTCCCATCCCAGACGTTGAAGTAGGAACTGCAGTCAAACATGATCTGAATCCTGATTCTACATCTGAGTTCACAATGCAGAAGAAAATTGACACTTGTGCAAAGACCTGCGAGGTGTATGTGATAGACAGTGATGGTAAAATTGTTATCAAGACAGAATCTGGAGCAGAAAACACTGTTGTTGCCAGTGATTCATTCATTATTACAAGGAACGACGACGACGAGGATGATGATGACGATGACGACGACGACGATGACGATGACGATGATGATGGAGAGAAGATGAGGAAGAGGATGCGGATGGCAACAGACATGGTGCCATAGAGTCAGATCCAGGTGGATATGGTGATGTAAACCCATCTGAGATCATCATGCCTGGTTTTGGCTTCATGGGAAGTGACTCAACCAAATGGACAATGATGGTTCCCATGGTTACCGTTAAGAAAGAACCGGAGGAATGTATGGAGAGTGTGCACGGCTGTCAGTCTGTGTTAGGTGGCAGGGACACTGACGAAGATCTCAAGACAGAAGTAAAGGTTGAACCTGCAGATCCAGAAACAGGAATCAAATTGATGGGGAATGGTGTAGAGTCTGATTGGATGCTGGCAATGAGCTGTGGGGATGGAGAGGATGAGTTGGACAGTGTACAGGTGAAAGAGGAACCTGTTAGTGATGAGGAACTGTCTCAGACCGCAGTTGGAAATATGGTGTACATTCACAAATCATCGCAGGATATATTTGATGAACATGAGAGACAACCACCTGAGACCCAAGAACAGCTTGTAAGTCTTGGTACTGTAGGATCACTAAAGCATGTTGATGAAGAACAACAAGTACCACAGCAGTATTCTTTGGCTAAAGAAAAATCAGTAAAACAACAACTTGTTGCAAAACTGAAAATAATACGACAACAGCGAGAACTGGCAAAACAGCAATCTGAAAAACAGCAACCTATAGCAAAACTGAAAACAGTTAAACAACAGCTTTTAGCAAAACGACAATTAGCAAAACATCAACGACTGGGGTTAATGCCAGAACCTGTGAAAGAAGAGCCACCAACTGAAAAGCTACAGCCTAAGGAAAAAAAGCAACAGGAAACACCACAGCCAGCAGTAGAACAATTAACCGCTAAACAACCATGGATTAAGATACAACCAAAACCCCAAACTGTGGAGTCAAGCTTGTCTGTGACCAATGAACAGTCTCTGGTTATGAGACACGAGCAGCCGAGGATACAGATGCACCCACTGATAAAACTGCAGCAAGCGGCCCAACAGCAACCGATGGTGAAACTGAAAGCCATGGCTCAGCAGCAACCTGTGGTGAAACCTCAAGCAGTGACCCAACAGCAAATGATGGTGAAACTGAAAAAAACAACCAATGGTGGCACAACCCAACAGCAACCAGTGGTGAAACATCAAGCAGCAAGACAACTGCAAATGATGGTGAAACTGAAAGCTGTGGAAAAACAACCAATCGTGAAACTGCAAGAAGCGACCCAACAGCAACCAGTGGTGAAACTTCAAGCAGAAACACAACAGCAACTGATGGTGAAACTGAAAGCTGTGGAAAAAGAACCAATGGTGAAACTGCAAGAAGCTTTACCCAACAGCAACCAATGGTGAAACTGAAAACTTTGGCACCTAAGCCTCAGACTGTGATAAAATTACAATCACTGACACAACAGCAGACTGGGACAAAGCAGAAACAATTGTTTAAGTTTCATGTGGTGAAATTTCAAGGATCGCCACAACAGGAAGTGGTCAAGCCCAAGGTTGGACCACCTTCACTGTATGAGTGTGGGATATGCAGCAATACATTTAAAAGCCGAAGCACTCATTGTTCATGTGAAAACCCACTCTAAGAAGATGCATCAGTTGAACAACTTAATTGGAGGCAGCTTGTCCTTCTCTATGAAAGTGGCTTTGGAACGTAAGAACGCTCTTCAATCCAGTTCTACGGACAAATCATATGGCTGTCCTGTATGCAAGGAGACCTTTCTGCAGTCCTCGCAACTCTTAGGACATCTGCAGGCGCACCAAGTACAGAAACAGGGAATGTCCGCGATGTGTATTGTCTGTGGCTCACAATTCAAGCAGGCCTCAAGCCTGCGTAAACACATGCACTGTCATATCGCGAGTCGGGGAAGGGTTTGACGGAGCTGGTGGCCAAAGTGGACCCTGCGTTGATGCCAGTAGCAGAGGCTTATCCTTGTGAGCAGTGTGATTTGGTGTTCCGTTCCAAGAATCGGAAGGCTGTCCATGTTCGTTATGTTCATAAGCAAATGGCACCGAACAAGTGTGTGCTTTGTGAGAAGACTTTTTATTCGCCATCGGAGTTGGAGCGACACATGAGGACACACACGGGGGAGAAGCCATTTGGATGTGATCAGTGTGGGAAAGCCTTTGCCCTTTCTACCACACTAAAGGATCATCTGCGATCCCACACTGGGGAGCGGCCATTTAAATGTTCTATATGTTTCAAAGCATATTCATCGTCATCGATACTTGGAAGACACAAGCTCACCCATGTTGGTGAACGAAAGTTTAAGTGTGACATCTGTGATAAGAGCTTCCTGTATTCCAACTCACTCACAGTGCACATGAGGACTCACACGGGTGACCGTCCATTCACCTGTAACATCTGTGGAAAGACATTCACAGCCTCATGTCACTATCGTGTTCACATGCGAATCCACACTGGGGAGAAACCTTACAAGTGTACATTCTGTGAAAAACAGTTCAACAACTATGGCAGCCATTACCGCCATGTCCGCACACATCAGGAGTGGAAGTTAAGCGGGGAGGAGGACGAGCAGGATGAGCAGGAGGACATTCCTGAGGTCTTCGAGGTCAAGCAGGAGGTCACATCCATCGACTCCGGAGATGAAGGTGATCTTGAGCATAAGCTTGTTCCATTTATGCTGTCATCGGCTCTGAAAACCAACTTGTTGCAAACACAGGGAGTACCAGATAAAAGCCAAGTTAAAGCAGCCAAACAGAAACCGAAACTTGTATCATTATTAGCTCCAAGGACAACAGTTGCTGATGGGTCAACTGTTGTGTCTGCAGGGGCTGGGGCTTCAAAAACAGCAGTAGCCAGTTGTTCCAGTCTCTTGGCAGGAGCTCATGTGATGACCTCTGCTCAGTTAACCCCTCAAGATGCTGAATCAAAGGCCCCATCTGCTCCAAGTGCAGCAGTAGGTGATGGATCGAACCTTGAGGACCAGAATGATCAAAAGACCTCAGTTCAGTTAAGCACACAGGATTCAAATCCTGATGCCCACATGAATCCAGTCAAAGGCAGTCTGGGTAGTGTAATCCTTGAGTTAAGTGAACCTGTTAAGTCTGGTAAAGCTGTGCATCCCTCACATAAGCAACACATCCAGAAGGCGGCAGTTTACACAAAGGTGATCACGACACAGCCTAGCCAATTGCCCCCTAGTGAGTTGGCTCCACCTAGTGTGAATAAGAACCCGAACCGGCCATTGACAGGACCCACCACTTCTCCATGGAAGACGGACACTGTCAAAAGGAGGAAGACTGAAACTGGACCCATTCAGAACAAATCCCTGTCCACATCCAGCACCATAGCCCAGCTGCTGTTGTCTCAGACAAACAGTTGATACTAGGCGTATGTGCCAGGGAAGGGGGTAATACATGCTACACAGAGAATATTTCCTGTGTAACTTTGTGATGCTCTTATCCACAGACACTTCATCTGGGCAATATGTGTTGTGGATATGGGCAATATATACTATTCACACTTTGCTAAGGTCAAATCATGGATTCAACAGAAAACTATGATGCGGGATCAAATTTGGTTTAAATATCTAAGCTTATTGTGAGCATGGATCCTAGGTTTCAGTGTGTCATTTCATCTCGTGGATCCATACCTGCTATTGAAAGGTGTTGTGTACTTGTCAATGACTCGTTCCATGATTTGCAAACTGGTTGATTGGTGCCATGAAACCATTTTTATGGTTACTCATGTACCAAGTGCATAAGGTTAGATTAAAGCGACTGTCTGCCTAAAGAGGGGTAACCATATTATTTATCCAGTTTTAAATGGATACAATTTCAAATTATGAATCTATGTTTAAGTAAAGTTGTGAATGTTTGGGATCCTTAGCAAAGTGTAAGTAGTATATGTGGTTCCTTTGAATTAGACCTTTTTGAAGCTGTGATCAAGAGGCTCTTGATATGGTGATTATGTGTATGGATGTATGTGATATAGACTTCTGTAAGAGTATGTTGTGTGGAGCTTTGTGATACAGTAATCCACTGACAGTTCTGTGTTCTAGTGGAGTATGTATGTTAAACTGTGTCATTATGCGTCAGTGGGCTAGGACTAAAAAAACGAGCTTTATTTTGGACTTGCTGATCCACATAAGAAATATTACCATTTCTGTGCTCGACTCTGGGTGCTCATTGGTCCAAGCACCTGCTGGTGTTCCTGTCAGAGGAAGTATGGCTTGATTCGTTGGTCGGGACTTCATTTGTAATGCAGTATACGTGTATAAGCTCCACACTTATAGAGGAATGTAGTACAACCAAATCTGTCATACATTGTTGATCCATTGAGCTTGTCGGCCATTTTTTAGCCGGACAGATACTCAGTATTTTTCAAATCGCAAATGTTAGAATATTGTGTACAACTGACCTCTTGCTAGTAGATGTTTAATTTTATTCAAATCTCAAACATTGGGATATGTGTTCCGGTGAAATTTTCAAGAAGGACAATTGACTTTTGCTAAATCGATAACTATTTTTGTTCAAATCCTGACACCTAGAATATTGTTTTCAACTGGAAATTATCAAGAAGGACAATGATCTCTTTCTAACTCGATAATTGGTTTGGTTTAAAAAAAACCCAAAAACACACACACAAAGACACACACACACAGAGAGACACACACACAGAGACGCATGCACAGAGACACACACGCACGTATGTTTGAAATTAAATTTGTTCTTTAGGCCCAAAGGCCGACTGAAAACCACTTTCACTGACAAGTTTTGTTTTCTGCAGGTCTTTATGGCCAACAGCTTTTTCATCCCCAGTAGCTAAAAGTATTTTTTTTCAGAAAATATCATTCAGTAATTTCTAGTTTTTATCTCTATCAGCAACTGTTGTCCAAGTGAAACAACCATCATTTTCGAGGAAGCAATTTAGATTACTGAGATATGATCTTTTAACCTTGAACAACTTATCCGAATGCATTGCAAACTCCATACACTGACAGGGTATTGCTTTCAGTTTATTTACAATGGTAAATGATATGTGGTGGTGTGCAGAGTTTCCTAGTTCGACTATCAGAATGTGATGGATTTTAGATTAGAAACAACAAGAATATAACCTCAACCCATCTTGAGTTTTTTTTGTTTGCTGGGAATTACTTATATTGTATCTAGAATACAGGGCCTACACGTATCAGGACCCACAACTGTTCATGTTCCTGGGTCCTTAGGGCCTGCAGCTTTACTGGTGTATAAGTTCAGTGTACTGCATCATTCATTGAGGTTTGTGGGGCGGTGGGGTAGCCTAGTGGTTAAAGCGTTGGCTCGTCACGCCGAAGACCCGGGTTCGATTCCCCACATGGGCACAATGTGTGAAGCCTATTTCTGGTGTCTCCCGCCGTGATATTGCTGGAATTTTGCTATAAGCGGCGTACAAATAAACTCAGTCAGTCAGTCATTGAGGCTTGTAGATAATCCAGTTAGAGATTTGTGAACAACGACCCTTAGGCCAGACCAATTTTATTTCTTGTTTTACGGATCTGCCGGTCGTATTTTTTCAAGAATAAGAAAAAAAAATAAAAATGAATTTTTCCTGCTCAAAAATGAAAATCCTAATGTTTTATTGGTAAAAAATGTAAACTTACAACAATTTTTTTGATTGTTTTTGGCCCCATATACACTTCATAAATTGCCAAAAGTAAAATACTTTTAGTATTTAAAAGGAAAATTACTTTGACTGGTGATTTTTTATTTTATTTATTTTTCCTCTTGCCTTTAGGTTTTCTGAGGACAATAATCCTTAAAAAAAGAAATGAAACTGGTCTGGCCGTACCATGAATTAAGATGACACAGATGTCACTGACATCCTGGATCATGTTGTTGACTCCCACAAACATCATCAGTTGCTTCTGGGGCGGTGGGGTAGCCTAGTGGTTAAAGCGTTGGCTCGTCACGCCGAAGACCCGGGTTCGATTCCCCACATGGGTACAATGTGTTAAGCTCATTTCTGGTGTCCCCAGCCGTGATATTGCTGGAATATTGCTAAAAGCGGTGTAAAACTAAACTCAGTCAGTTGCTTCTTAACCAGAATCCTCTTGCACCCACAGGGCCGGTGGGGTAGCCTAATAGTTAAAGCATCCACTTGTCACGCCGACGACCTGGGTTCGATTCCCCACATGGGTACATTGTGTGAAACCCATTTCTGGTGTCCCCTGATGTGATATTGCTGGAATATTGCTGAAAGCGGTGTATAGTCTGTTTGCAGTGAAAACGTTCCGATGAATTTCACTTTAAACAGAAAAGTAAATTAAATAAAGTGAAATTAAGATTGCAAGTCCTCATAATTTTACCTTGCCAATTAAACATATAAATTTCAGAATTTTATTTAACTTAGGATAAAAGTTGTTTAACAGATCGCTATAATTGGTTTTGTATTACAAGGAGTAAACGCAGTAATTGGAACAGTGAAACAAATGCACGCGTGCAGTAATGTGATGAGCTTAACTTAGACCAACCCTACATCTTCTCGGTGTTTCATTTAATGTACATACCCCTTGTAATACAAACCAACAATAGCGATTTGAAACTATGATCGGTTTGTTAAACAACTTTTATCCTAAGTTGAATAAAATTCTGAGATTTAAATGTTCAATTGGCAAGGTAAAATCATGAAGATTCGTACTTCTAATTTCACTTATTTGATTTACGTGTTTGTTTAAAGTGAAATTCATTGGTACGATTTCACTGCAAACAGACTGTAGACAATACTCACTAAGTCCAACTGTCAATGGAATGGCTCACTGGTCAGTGTGTTGTACTGGTGGTTGAGGTACTAGTATTTGGATATTTTGTTACATTTTAAAGTTATATTTTTATCATTGATTAGATGATTTCTGAAAGGATTTTGCATGTTGCGGAATGTGCTGTTTTGAGATTTGTTCAAATGTTGATACAGTATTTGCTAAGGTATTTCAAATGTTGATGAAAGATTCGCTGATTTTGTGAATGTGGTTCAAATGTTCAACAAGAATTTGCATAAAGACAAGAGTTTGTTTATGGATGAGGGGTGGTGGGGTAGCCTAGTGGTTAAAGCCGTTAGGCTCGTCACCAAGACCCCGGTTCAATCCCCACATGGGTACAATGTGTGAAGCCCATTTCTGGTGTCCCCCTGCCGTGATGTTGCTGGAATATTGCTAAAAGCGGCGAAACCAAAACTCAGTCAGTCAGTTTATGGATGGCAACTTCTTTATTAGGAGGGTCACGACGCGTTTGGTATGTCCTTACTCCTCCTTACTCCTTTCACCTGATGAAGGAGTAAGGACATACTCAAAATGTCGCGACTCCTCTTCACAATAAACAAGTGGTCATCCATAAAAAACTCTTGCCTTTATGTGTATCACTTCTAAATGCCCTTCAAAGACTCCAAGAATTTGCTTATTTTAAGAATGTGTTTCAAATGTTGATGAAGAATTTGCTGATTTGAAAATGTATGGGACCGCTCATAATTAATGGCTAGGGGCGTGATGAGGATATAAGGGGGTCAGCCATTTTGTTCTGGAGAGGGGGGAGTTCATAAATTTTGTACACATGTACTAGTGGCGGTCAGCAATTTTGTGCATAAAAATATTTTAAAATTATGCCTAAAAAATATGTTAAGGTGGGGGGTCATTAATTTTTTTACATGACATTCAGGGGGGTCACATACTTTGCACATAAGTTTTAGGGGGTTTTCATTCACATTGTACATGCTTCTCCATAAAAATCATCATCATCCCCACTAGTGATAAATTATGAACGGTCACTAATCAAGATCCTTATTTGCTGACTTTTGAATGTATTTCTGATATTAACTTGAAAATATTTCATCAGAAACCTGTGTTTAGTTTGATTATTGATGAGACAAATTTGTCTTTATTAAATGATACAAACTGAATGTAATTGAATAATCTTGTCTATTTTTAGTATTGTTATCCCAGTGGTATAAACATTTCCAGAGAAGAACTCCACAACCATTAAATATTTTAGTAGGGTAGGCAAAGACCGGGTTCGATATCCCACGTGGGTACAATGTGTAAAGCCCATTTCTAGTGTCCCCAGACGTGATGTTGCTGGAATACTACTAAATAGCATAAAACCATACTCACTCACACTTCTCGCACAATCCATTCTGTGAAAGTGACAGGCCGAACAACTATATATTATTTGGTGTCATAAAACCTGCAGAAAATGTCTGCAATTGCACCTTATTGTGTATGTAAATGCAAGATTTCTTTACATTTATTTCAGTGTACAAATTCTTTCAAATGAAATTGTTTACTAAGTTGTGACAATTGGTTTTAAGTATTTTATTGGACCATGGTGGTCCAATAATTAAAACACTTAATTAATATCTAAAGTTCATTTCCATTTAAATCCTTATCAGTCAAAAGTGTAAACAATGTGGCCCAGTAAATTTCCATTACCCTGTGGCCTTCACCTTCATGTGTGATGTCATAGCTCACACCGGTCACATCATGACCTCTCCAAAGCTCATGCATTTTGGAGCACATGCTTGCCAGTGTGTATTGGACCTCCATGCTGCCTGGTTGTCACCCAGCTGACTGTAACTCTGTAAAGACACATATGTGAGTACTTTACCCTTCACTGCTAGGTTGTACTATCTCTAAATTACAATGAAATTGTATTATGCCAAAATGTTAATTGGTTGTGCAAAACTTGTTAATATATTTCACACAATTATTTGTAAATTTGTAGTTGTAATTTTGCAATTTCAATGTATTCACATATCATTCGAATGAAACGTTGAATGTTATATGCTATGAAATTTGTACATATTCTGAATTTCATTGAAAGCTATTGTTTGTTGTAGTTTTCTGAACCTCATCAGCTCATCAGCAACTTTACTCTTCAAGTGAACGCAATAATATTCATCAAGTCCTCAGCAGCAGCCACTTATTATGAACTGTAATTCCTTAAATATCAATACATTAAACACTGTTGCTGCGAGTATCAGTTTTTGTGTTCCGCAGTAACAGTGTATTTATTGTGTATATGTAGTTTCTGAGACTCTTAAAGAGTTTGAAGGTGAGTTTGGTTAAACCTCATTGCTATCTTTTCCTCATTGCTGTCTTTCTTTTTAAACATGTTCATGCATATTGCGTTCACATTCTTTAACAAAAGCAGCTGGCCAGTACTTTATATAGTTTTACACTAAGGGACTGTTATGGCTATGGGGGTGGTGATGATTTTTATGGAGAAGCATGTACAATGTGAATGGAACACCCTAAAATTTATGTACAAAGTGACCCCCCTGCATGTCATGTACAAAATCAATGCCCCCCCTTCCCATATTTTTAAAGCATAATTTCCCCTGCCGTGATTTTTGGATGTACAAAATTGAAGACCCTCCCTAGAACATGTGTACCAAATTGATGACCCCAGTACCTCCCAAGAACAAAATGGGTGACCCTCCCTTAAAATCAACATCATTCCCTCCTTTCTCTCCCCTTTAAAATTATGAACGCTCCCTAAAATGTTGGAATTTGAACCACTGTGGCTGAGAACATTAAATGCAGCTTGAGAAATTTGGCAGCTGTGATTGGATAATATTGTGTAAGGTTTTTGCGCTTATTAGCTGTACATTCCTCTACTAACTAAATCTGTTGTTTTTTTATGTGATATTTAGTCCTTTGTAACAAGCTGACTTTACCTGTTGCATGGGGCTATCATGAAGACAAGGGAGGCAACTATGTAAGTTATTTATCAGATTACCTCCCCCTTACCCACTACAAGTTACTCAAAACCAAATATTTTCAAATGGACTTCTATAGTAACAGTGTGCAAAATAGTTTCCAAACTTTGCTTGCCAGTTGGGCTAGCTATGCCTGAGAGTTACTAGCCCACAAAATATTTCACTAGCCCGTAATTGGAATGTGGTCACAGGTTTCAGCATTAAGCTGTTAATATGATGAACATTTTAACCAGGCCATAACCTTGCATGATTTAAAAGTGTATTATAACTTAACAAGTCAGAGAAAGGAATATATTGACAAAATGATTCCATGAAAATTCACCAGCCAGTCAGGCCAGTGACAGTGGAGATTTACTGGCCAGACTGGATTTTTACTAGCCACAGGCTAGCGGGCCAGTGGCTATTTCGCACACTGTATAATAATGGTATATTTTTTAAACAAATAACCATTTTCATCTGTGCATAGTCTGGCCTTAAAGCAGAAATAAGAATAAATAAATGACTACCTTGGTTTGTACACCATACTCCACAATATTCCAGCTGTATGGCGGCGGTCTGAAACTAATTGTCTGGACCAGACAATCCAGTGATCAACAGCATGTGCATCAATCTATGCTATTGGGATACGATGACGTATAAACCAAGTCACTGAGTCTAACCAGCCGATCCCGTTGGTCGCCATGATGACAAGCACGGTTGCTGAAGACCAATTCTAACCCAGATCCTCACAGGTAAATGACTACCCCAACCAGTTGCTTTTCCAATTGCACTTGCACAAGTCTCAAAGGTAATAATTAATAGTTTAAATGATAATTCCTAAGATAATATAAATAAACTGACACATTGTCCCTCTCACAGGCTGCATCCTTACTGTCTGTTTATTTTGACTTACCCTAAAGGATAGAATTACTCTTTAATCCATGGGTTTAGCATTCAGTGCAGCCAAGTACAAGAAGCTTAACAGATCAGCGCCAATTTGGCACAAAATGTCACCAACTTGAAAATACCAGTGGTCACATTCAGTGTAAGTTATGTTTGAAAAGAGCAGTAAATATAGAAAAATATGTTCAGTATTAACTGCTGGATGAGGGGCAGTAGGGTAGCCTAGTGGTTAAAGCGTTGGCTCGTCACGCCGAAGACCCGGGTTCGAATCCCCACATGGGCACATTGTGTGAAACCCATTTCTGGTGTCCCGTGCTGTGATATTATTGGAATATTGCTAAAAGCGGCATAAAACCATACTCATTCACTCACTAACTGCTGGATGGATGTACACTTAAAATCCCCCACAAAAATCTTGCACAAAATCTTCCAATCACAGCTGCCAGATCATTCAGTCTTCAGTGATGTGCTTGTTAATGTTAACCTACGGAATCTGATTCGGTAAAACCTTGAAACCACTGTATGAAATAAGCCGAAAACCGAGCCAGACATTAGGGCTGGCAACTTCAAAATGTTACCAGCCCATTGATGTAACCCGACTATACCAGACAATCGAAAGAAAATAAGTCAATTGTTAGTGTCGCTGTTTTAGTGATAATATATGTCAACGCAGTGCTTTGGGGTTACGATATGATAGTTTAATGTTCAAACAGTAATTGTCAAGTCGAAATGTAATGCTCAATTTGAAAAATTGATTGAAGATATGGTGAATTTACTCAGATGTATGGAACATGTTATCTGAAAAGTTTACCAGACCATCCAGCTGACTAGCTGTATATTTAGACCGTCCATCTGAAATCTAATCTGTCTCGGCGGTCGGACAGGCCTTATGTCATATACTGACAGTAGTACCCGCCATGCTGCAGTAGAAACCAAACACATAACCATGTATGGCTGGATAAAAAGATTGATAATCAGAGAAAGTTGTCATGGAAAACATACTATAGGACAATGTGCCACCCTGAATATAGGCATTGTTGTCAGGTAATTGGACTTTCGATTGGAATGTGTTGAAAATTATTTATGCCATCTACTTCACTGACAGTTTGATGCATTCAGGCACAGAACTTTTTAGCAACACCATTCATTGCATAGATAATATATATTTTCAAGTATTTTTATGTAAGGCCAGACCAATTTTATTTCTTGTTTTTCGGAGTTTTTGTCCTCAGAACCTAAAGGCAGTGGGGAAAATAAAAAAATAAAATATCACCAGTCATAGTAATATGCCTTCTAACTACTAAAAGTATTTTACTTTTGGCAATATATGAAGTGTATATGGGGCAAAACACAATTTAATTTTTTTTTGTAAGTTTACTTTTTTGACCAATAAAACATTAGGACTTATTTTTTGAGCAGGAAAAATTCATTTCTATTTTTTTTCTTATTCTTGAAAAAATATGACCGGTGGATCCGTAAAACAAGAAATAAAATTGGTCTGGTCTAATCATTTCAGCAATATAATCATTGGCAATACAGATATATTTTCCTTATTTTACTTCTTACAGCAGTGAAAAATGTTATAATTGTTGAAACAGGTTAAGAGCATATATGGGTCATACTTAAAGGGAGGTAACTGTTGCATGTTTTTTTTCAGATTGCCTCCCCCTTCCCCAGCACAAACTCATAGTTGCATCTTGGCTATACAAACTGTGAGTCACCTTGACTTACTGCATGTTTTGTGACCTAACTTTTGCAAGATCATGACAATAAACTTGAATCTTTAAAAAAGGATTGGAGGTTTATGACCATGTGAAATGAAGGATATCAATTTAGATTATTTCCAATGTATTTATATGTTAAATTAAATCATGAAACCCTGTACTTCATCTAAGCAACAATATATATACTGAAAGGCAAAAGAACTGTCGTAATATTGGAAATGACATTTAAGTATCAATGGAACATTTGAACCTATTTTTTTAAAATAATACGCCACTGAAATGCAGTACCGACTTTCGTCAGAGAAGATAACCCCTCTTCATTGTCTCCCACGACAGTTTTGCCGCTGTTGTGTCCACTTGGATACGTTCACGGCGGTGACGTTGGGTGAATATAGGTCTCCTGGCAGGACATCGACAAAACAGGTTCCTGGCTTGGAGACGTCGCCGAATGGTAGGTCACTGACTCGTCGCTGGTGGTTTCCTATGGTCACCCAAGCTGTTTCTCTGGCCCTTCGCGAATAGGTCTTGCACGCGGTTGATGGACGATATGACGGTCCTGGCGGCGTGTTGTTACATCGGGTTGACCACTCGTGGGACGGTCATCAGTGCTGCTGGTGGCGTTGTATCGCGACTCTAAGACGTTCTATCGCTCGCTGACGCTGCAACTGAAGGCATTAGCAATGACTCGAGCATGGTGACCAGCGTGCAGACGTCCAATAGCTTGTTGTGGTTGATCTCTCGTTAACCTAGTCATAGCTGCTGTGTTCAGAAAACAAGTGAACGATTGCCATTCAAGCCGGCAATTTATGCCTGAATGCATTTATGATGCACGTGCAACTCGATTTCAATGTTGTGTTTGTGGGAACTTTTCCCTCTCCCAAAAACAAAAACATTTCTAACTTCAATCTCAAACAATACTTTATTGGGCAATGCAGGCTATACGACCACGATTCATGTTTCCTCAAACTTGACTTCTGGTGTATATTTTAAAAAATAGGTTCAAATACTCCATTGATACTCAAATGTCATTTCTAATATTACGACGTTTCTTTTGCCTTTCAGTATAGTTAAAAATGTGCAATGCCACAGGATTATTGAAAAAAGTTATTTCTTATACCATATGGTCTCTGCTTATACATGTACCTACTTTCAGTCATTCTATTGGCAGGAGAGATGCTTTGCTATATTTCTGTGATACTTGTACTGCAATCTTTCTCTCTATACAACAACCAGTGAAGGTCCTGGTTAGAATATTGATCTCTGTAACGGGGATCGGGTGGTCAGGCTCACTGACGTGGTTGACACATTTCATTGGTTCCCATTGCGCAGATCGATGCTCATGCTGTTAATCACTGGATTGTCTGGTCCAGATTCGATTATTTACAGACCACCACCATATAGCTGGAATGTTGCCGAGTGTGGCGTACAACTAAACTTACTCACTCACTCAAGTGAATTCTGCAGGAATCTCTGGTCACGACAGTATTGAAGCCAGCCACATCTTCCTACACTCGGTTGGTTGATGTGGACATTGTCCAGCAAGTCCCGACTCCAGGCTTCCACATGACACCTGAACAACAAGGACAGTTTAATATGATATGCAATATTGACAAACTTAATGGATAACAACTTCTTTTATTTCGTGTGCGACATTTGGATACAGATTCTTGTAACATTGTCAAGAATCTGTATTGAAACTCGACTCCCAGCAGGCTTTTGGTTGACACACGTCATTATATCCCAGTTGTGTAGATCGATGCTGATGCTGTTGATCATTGGATTGTCTAGTCCAGACTTGTGCCATTGTCAAGAATCTGTACCGAAACTTTTCTCCCAACTGCTCCCACATATAAGTTTTATTCTTGAATTTTTCATATTTAAATTTTTTTAACTTTATTTTTGTTTTGTACTTGATACAGTGCTTGGAATTTACCAGCATGTCTTATGGTGGAAGCTTTCTTTTTTTTTACCACATTAAATATTGTAGTTTGTAGTTCAAAACTGAACAACCTTTATGGATAACAATGTCTTTTATTTCATGAGTGACATTTCGATACAAATTCTTGTACTGTTCTGAAGAATCTGTATCTAAACTCGACTCCCACCAGGTTGACACATAGCGTAGATCATGCTGTTGATCATTAGATTGTCTGGTCCAGACTCAAGTATGTGCAGACCTCCGCCATATAGCTGGAATATTGCTGACTGCGAGAGTAAACAACAAACCAACCAACTGTAGCAGCACCAGTGTATATTATAATACCTCATCGGAGCAGACATGAAATATAATGAGACCGATGAAAGCTGTACAGCATATATAATGTTACTGTGACAAAAATAATATTCTTCTTTCGAATGCATAGAACAAATATTTGGCAGTATTCAAGGTAATATCTGCATTTGGGGATGCTAACAAACAATTAAATTTTAGCATATATTGGGGAAAACACAGAATTGCTACAGCAGATATTTAGGTGCTAATTGCTAGCCATACTGTTCCAGTTGCCGGAAACCATATGGCAGCATTCGGTCAAGGTGACCTGATCGATAGTCCACATATGTGTTGATGATTAACTCTGCGGTATATTGGCTACCATAGTTACGAGCAGCTGTCATTAGGGATTGAATATTGAATCTTGCTCTATATGTTTTCACAGATCTATAGTTTTGAATGAATAGGTTTGTTTTCTGGGACTTAATGTTTGAGAGTGGGTTTTGAGACTTGGTGGTTGGAGGACACCATCTGTGTCGGCCTTGGAGGTTTTCTAAGGTCACTCTGACCTCAGCTTCATCCTGGTGTTTTGATTACATTCACTTCCCTGTATATTGATCCTGTTGCACAAATAACATGAGACCAACACTGATCAAGGTAGACAACTTGTGATGTAAAATGCCAATATTTTCAGTTGTCTCGCCCTTTCCCAGTGTGTCTATCCACGAGTGCACATACAGACTAACGCTTAGTGTCTGAATATACGTAATTTTGATAGTAATATATAATCCTATCTAAATAGAAAAGGACCCCAGTGAGATGGTAAATTCAGAAGAAATCTAAACTTGTGTCATTTAGGACTTCAGCGTTGCAGGGAGGGTTAGGCAGTAGGAAAATAATGTGGCTCAGGGACTGAGAGACAGACTACATTGCAGGGAGGGTTAGGCAGTAGGAAAATAATGTGGCTCAGGGACTGTGAGACAGACTACATTGCAGGGAGGGTTAGGCAGTAGGGAAAATAATGTGGCTCAGGGACTGGGAGACAGACAACATTGCAGGGAGGGCTAGGCAGTAGGGAAATAATGTGGTTCAGGGACTGTGAGACAGGCTACATTGCAGGGAGGGCTAGGCAGTAGGGAAATACTGTGGCTCAGGGACTGTGAGACAGGCTAGTGTACAGTGTCATAGTGTCAGTGCAGAGCAGTTGGATGTGAATCTGGGATAATTAATTACATTTAGACAAAATATTAGAATGCAAATGTTGATAATCCATTGATTAATACCAATATTTTGAGAAAGGGGGGTGCACACTATTGAGAAAAGGAGGGGTGCACACTTCATTTTCACCCGAGTGTCAATGTTCATTTAACAAACTTTCACCATAAAGGGGGGTTGGGGGTGGGGTGTGTGTGTGCGCATCCCTGCACCCCTGCACCCCCTCTGGATCCGCCTATAGCTGGGTGGTTGAAGCACTTGCTTGTCAGGCCACGTTTGGGTTTAATTCCCTTCCTGGGTAAAATATATAAAGATTTTTCTGGGGTCCAGTGATCAGGCTGACAAAATTTTAAAAGGATGTAAATAATCATCCATAGCCAAGGATAGTTCATCGAGGCTCTATTTACATACTGACAAGGAAACAAAAACATTGTTTTTAAAATTATCTCTTTCCCCATGCTTGTTGTTTGTTGGCTACATGCCAATATGTTACTTTTTGTATTTACTTCCCTAACCATGTAATGAAGTTTGCATGCTACAAGGACAAACAGGAAGAAAAAATGTGAGCTTGTTTTTGTTTACCAGAGGAAGCAGGACACTATTTTGTTGTTCACCTTTTGCTCAAGTGCAGCTGTGACTGCCTTTGTCAACATATTGAAGGAAAGTAGAGATTGAAATCTATGGTTAAAGTGTTTGTCACTCACTCACTCACTCACTCACTCACTCACTCACTCACTCACTCACTCACTCACTCACTCACTCACTCACTCACTCACTCACTCACTCACTCACTCACTCACTCACTCACTCACTCACTCACTCACTCACTCACTCACTCACTCACTCACTCACTCACTCACTCACTCACTCACTCACTCACTCACTCACTCACTCACTCACCTCACTCACTCACTCACTCACTCACTCACTCACTCACTCACTCACTCACTCACTCACTCACTCACTCACTCACTCACTCACTCACTCACTCACTCACTCACTCACTCACTCACTCACTCACTCACTCACTCACTCACTCACTCACTCACTCACTCACTCACTCACTCACTCACTCACTCACTCACTCACTCACTCACTTAATCAGCACTGCCAGTACAAGGACCTCTACATTCTACAAAAAGCTTGCATGCATACAGCTTGAAAACAGTACATGTTTTCATTTCGATAATGTACAAGTACAGTCAAACAGTTCTTGATTATAAAGGTTGATTAAATGCCTCTTTCAGTTGGAGTACATGGCCCTCAAATTAGGGATAAGTTTGCATGCGGCAATGGTTCAAGCCCTTCTTAACAAAGTCCCTTGTGTAGTAAACTAAAACCTGGTCAATTTTAATTTTGTTTAAGAAACAAAAGGAGAGATGGGAGCTATGTCCTGTGTGATAATGTGTATTCAAAATTACTTCCTGAAATAGAATGTGTGTATCATTGTCTCTTCTGTGAAAATAGTATACTTCCCATCAAATGTTTAGACTCACTAGTGTAAATGTAGCCACTTACTTCAGGCAACTGTTCTAAACTAAATTTTGCAAAATGTTCCATACTGTTTAAAGGTACTGTGTTGTGAAACAAATTCGTACAGTTGAAAAGATTATTGTCATGAGTTCTAGAAATGATAAAACTCAATGAAAATAGGCAAATTATTTACAAAACTTTAACCACAATGCAACTGTTCACATGCATGATATTTGCACATGTTTTACAGCAATTTGATGCATGATCCTCTTGCAATACATCTGCATAAGGTTTGCAGTTGATTCCCCCTTGTTAGTGGAGGAATCAGTCTTCGATGTAACCATATATATACATAATATATAGTGAGTGTTTTCAGTGAGTCTAAACTTTTTATGGGAAGTATATTTTTGTGTGTACAACTGTCAACCATCGATTATAGCAAACGTGGCCATCTGTTGCCTGACACTCAAACAATAGATGATGAACGTAGGTGGAAACTGCTAGAGGGCTTTTGTTCAATACTCAGAATATTGGAGGCTTTCGTTATGAATTGTCATTGCTCAAAAACATTTGTCCCATTATTTTTCTAGTGAGTTATTTTCAAATGTACGATATATTTAGTTATTTATTTTTGACAGTAACCAGTTCAAGTGAGATCTGAGAGAAGAGGAATGACTGACATGATGAACTGACAGAGGAAAATGGTGACTTACAGTTTGAGTGAAAATGTTGACTGAATACTGCTTGAAGGAAGTATGTGCATATGTCTTCCTGTTTGGGGCTGACTTTAATCTGTCTTTATGTTATTGACAACCTTGCTGTCAGAACATTAGATGACTTAATAAAGAGAATGTTAGCAAAGATATATATATTGTTATGATGAGTTATATTTGAGTTTGAAAGGAAAGAGATGAGATTTAAGGAAATCAGTGATGATGGTGGTGATGATGGTATCTCAGTGGGCTAGCACTATAAAACCAGCTTCAGTCTGGGCTAGTACAAGCAGCCGCACATACACATACACATACACACGCATGCACGTCGTCATATGAGCAAAATATTCTCAAGCATGACGTTAAACCCAATTTCACCACCACCACCACCACCACCACCACCACAAAGGCTACAATTATGACATGTCCTTGCATGTTTTTAGATAAATGCTAATGTAATATGTCCTATGATGCTTTTTGATAAATACTAAGGTGTAAGGTTATAAAAACCAATCTCTCAGACACTTTTCAACAAAAGTTAGGTCTACATAGTTTCATTAATAGCCTTAATCTGTTTCATATCTATAAAGGTGTCATCACCTTTATTTGAATGACATAATGCTAATACTTCAGTTTAGACTCCCCATACAAGTTCAGATCCACACAAGGTGGTGGGGTAGCCTAATGCTTAAAGCGTTGGCTCGTCACGCCGAAGACGCAGGTTCGAATCTCCACATGGGTACAATGTGTGAAGCCCATTTCTGGTGTCCCCTGCCGTGATGTTGCTGGAATATTGCTAAAAGGGGCGTAAAACCAAATTCAGTCAGTCAGTCAGATCCACACACACAGCTTGTGTGATATGGCCATATGCTACGGTAAAGTATTTATATAATAGAAGTACTAAATAGCACCATCAAATGTTTAGATACTACCCATCAAATGTTTAGACTCACTAGTGTAAATGTAGCCACTTACTTCAGGCAACTAGATTTTGCAAAATATTCCCTACTGTTTTAATGGTACAGTTTACACATGACCTGATGTATTGTAAAACAAATTCGTAAGGTTGAAAAGATTATGGTGATGAGTTCAATAAATGATGAAACTCTGTGAAAATTGGCAAATTCTTAACAAAACTTTACACCAAAACGCAGCCATTCACATGTACGGTATTTGCACATGCTGTTTAGCAATTTGATGCATGATCCTCATACAATTCAACTGCATAAATATACATATATATACATAACATAGTGAATGCTTTAAGTGAGTCTAAACTTTTGATGGGTAGTATAGTTTACAGAATTTCCTGAACAGGATGTTTACAGTGACATATGTTGGCCTGTTTCTCTGTGAAGTAGTTGATATCAACAATGCATACATCGATTGGTTAGACTGAATGTCAGAGTCGAGGGTCAAAGTTATTTTTCAATGTCATGCTTCCCAGATCTGCTGGTGGAATCTGAAGCCACACTCATCTCCATGTCTGCTGGGGCGGTGGGGTAGCCTAGTGGTTAAAGCGTTGGCTCGTCACGCCGAAGACCCGGGTTCGAATCCCCACATGGGTACAATGTGTGAAGCCCTTTTCTGGTGTCCCACGCTGTGATGTTGCTGGAATATCGCTAAAAGCGGCGTAAAACCAAACTCAGTCAGTCAGTCAGTCCATGTCTGCTGATTGGCTAGTCTGGGCCAGGAGACTGTTTATTGAATTTTCAATTACCCCACTCCTGGTCTGATCAGACGTGCCTGATTTATCTGCTCGTCACAGTCTGGGTCACAGCAATAGCTTCAGGCTGGAATTGATCATTAATTACATCATTAAGTGACGTAAATTTAGGCTGTTGTAATTCTTGTTGGAACAAGTTTTTACCTGCATCAGAGTACCAGGTGATTAAGTATTAAGATTATTTCACTGGTATAGCAATGTACAGGCATGTATGCACATGTGCTTGCATTTCATGGCATGACATTTATATACATTTTCAGTATTATTTATAGATCCTCAACATTTATATGTTGTTATTCAAGTACTAGGAAAATGCAAATTAAATATTCAATTCAGTGATAGTTTGTGGATAAAGATTACAAGAACCAGTCTAAAAAAACACACCAAGATTTATGGATGTCAACTTGTGAATACCAGGACGTTTCCGGGGGGTATGCATGCTCCATCAGGTAAATAGTAGGTAGTGTCAGGGGGGTATATATATATACATATATGAGGCTCTACAAAGAAAACATGTTTAACAATGTTGAGGAATGAATATGTAATGCAAATTCATGTTGTTTAAGTGTATCATTCGCCTCTTCATGTTTGTATTACATATTCATTCCTCAACATTGTTAAACATGTTTTCTTTGTTGTGTCTAATATATGTATATAATCCCCCCTCATACTCCCTACCACCCGTGAAGGTCTGCGTTAGAATATTGATCTTCAGTAACCCATGCTTGTCGTAAGAGGCGACTAACGGGTTCGGGTGGTCAGGCTCGCTGGTTTGGTTGACACATGTCATCGGTTCCCAATTGCGCAAATCGTGCTGTTGATCATTGGATTGTCTGGTCCAGACTCGATTATTTACAGACCGCCGCCATATAGCTGGAATATTGCTGAGTGTGGTGTAAAACCTCACTCACTCACTCACTCACTCACTCACAACCATTCACCTGACAAAGGAGCAAGCATACACTCCGAAATAATATAGGAGTTGACAGTCATAAATCTTTCTTTTGTTATGCATTCCACTTCTAAATGCCCTTCAAAGGTTAGAACCAGTCTCCCAGTAGAACATTCCCCATTTTGTATTTATCTTTTAAAAAGTCTGGTTCTTCATACCTGAGGCTAGTATTTTATCTACAAATCTCCCAGACACATTATTCAGTAATACAAAAAAATATGTCTTCATTGTAAACATTTTCCTAGTAATAAAGCAGTCATCATGTAAATTTATGTAAATTTAGGCTCTTTTAGATTTAGCCCCCCTACAAGTGTATCTGTTGTAATATCAAAACTATGAGCTATAGTACAATAGTTAACCAAGAAATAGTAAATGTATCATTGTGATGAGCTATAGTAAACAAAGAAACTATCGTAATATCACTATCACTATCATGAACTGTCATAAGTACACAGGAAAATAATAAAAGAATGAATAGCAGCTATAGTAAACAAAGAAACTATTGTAATATTACTATCATGAACTGTCATAAGTACACAGACAAAAATGAAAAGAATGAATATCAGCTATAGTAAACAAAGAATTAAAACATCATGAGCTACAGTAAACAAATAAATACTACAAGTATTACAGCAGTGAGCTATTGTAGACAAATATATTTAAAATAAGTGTTACTACCATGAGCTGTAGAAAAGGAATATAGTAGTTAATGATAACAAATAACAGGAGTATTGCCATCACAAGCTATCACAAGTCAAATGAGAAATGATAGAAGTATATATATATCAATTTATGTCAATTTAGGCTCTTTTAGATTTAGGTCCCCATACAAATATGTCTGTTGTAATATCAAAATCGCTGCCCTAGGCTGTAGTACAATAGTAAACAAAGAAATAATAAATGTATCATTGTCTTGAGCTATAGTAAACATAGAACATAAGTATCACAGCCATGAGCTGTTGTAAAAAAATAAGTATCCCCTTTTTGCTATAAACACTGAATTTGTCTTCATTATCCCCCGCCGTGCGTTTAGCGCGAAGCGGGGGATACAGTATTAGGCTCGGTCCGTCTGTCCGTCCGTACGTCCGTACGTACGTACGAATTGGAATATCTTAAGAACCGTTGACTAGATTCGTTTCATATTTGGTACCTAGGTTCATCACAGTAAAAGGAAGGTCCCAGTCAGGTTTGGTGACCTTAACCTTCATTTCAAGGTCACAAGGGGACTTTAACGTTTTACCCTTGTCAGCAAGATATCTCAAGAACCGTTTTCTGGATTTCCTTCATATTCAACACCAAGCTTTGTCTAAGGAAGGCACAGGGCCCAGTCGATCATGGTGACCTTCACCTAATTGTCAAGGTCACAGCGACACTTTGAAGATTTCAGCATGTTAAGCTGCATGTTAAGCTTGTCGGCGAGATACCTCAAGAACCAGAGCAAGATTTTAAGAAAGGTTGACTGGTCACGTTTTTGTTGACATTTAACTTTAACATTTAACAGCCTTCACTTTCATTACTTTTTAAGCTTGATTTGATAACGTGCCACGGGGGATTGTCACCTTAGTGACAATGCTTGTTAATCATTTCGTTGCTCGGTGATCTATCCATACTGCAAGTCTAAAATGAAACAACCTTCACCAAATTATTCAAATTGTAAATGACACAATCAAAGTAGGATATGCATTTGCATAAAAAAATGTACAGTTAAGAGACTGTGGCTTCACTAGCCTTGCTCCAAGGCTATACTGAAAACTAATGGATGTACATGTATAGCAATTCTATCCTGTAAGGAGGCAAGACTAGATTAGATTAGGGGACGCCAGTCAAGTCTGACGTACAAGTGCCTCCATGGTTTGGCTCCCTCCTACTTGTCTGAACTCCTACATCCGTATGTCCCCGCACGCAACTTGCGCTCAAACACACAAAACCGACTGGTCATCCCATCCTACAAACTGAAATCCTTCGGACACCGATCGTTCTCTTACTCCGCGCCTGTGCTCTGGAACTCTCTCCCATGTGCCCTTAAAAGCTCTGCCACAATTGACATTTTTAAGTCCAGACTTAAAACCCACCTTTTCTCATTATACTATGTATAACTTCATCTGTAAATACTCCAGTGTAAATATTCTGTAGCGCTTTGAGCATGCCTTAGGGTGTGGAAGGGGCGCATTATAAATATGCATTTATTATTATTATTATTATAAATATGCATTTATTATAAGTCAAAGATGCTTATTGTAGAAGAGGCCTCCGGCCCATATACATTGGGGTTACACATATACAATAAACATGTGTTGCAATAAATAGTAATTTGTGTACCAAACACCGAATCATATTATAGGCAGTGCATAACGTTACAAATAGTGAATTATGATGGATATGTTAGAGGAGCCATGTTTTTTTTTACATATTCTTTTCGAAATTATCATTTATAGTATTTTTTATTACCTTAGAGACGTGCATGTCTAGCAGCC